TCAGGTGCCCCTGTAGGGCTTACTTTTTAGTAATGGCTGTGTTTTGGGGCACCTGGGTGGCTCAGTCAGTTAAGTGTCTGACTCTTGATTTTGGTTCAGGTCATGATCTCACGGTTCCATGAGTTTGAGTCCCACATCGGGCTCCATACCGATGGTGTGGAGTTTTCTTGGGATTCTCTCTCTCTCTCGCTCTCTCTCTCTCTCTCTCTCAAAATAAATAAATAAATAAACTTAAAAAAAATCGCTGTGTTTAGCACCTGGCTTACAGGGTTCCTGGGCTGTAAAACTCCTCAGAGCGTCAGGGGCTTCTGTGAGCCCTGTGCGGACTGTTTTAACAGTCCGGCCTTGCCCCATCCCCAGGCATCGACTAAATGTGCTGGTCCTAAGAACAAAGTCTGGCTCCAAGCCAGGCCTGGCTCTCCGCTGCCCTGGGCACCTGCCCACCGGGCCGCCCCACTGCGCGCCCCTGTCTGTCACGACTCCTCTAGCACTTGGGAAATCCTCACCGTTGGTGAGGCCTGGGCAAAAATGCAGGTGAGGGCCCAGATCCCCCCTCTGTCTGGCAGGTGCAGGCCCAGGCAGGCAGCGTTTTCTGCCTGCCTCTGAGCCACCCTAGGGTGGAGGGGCCCCCCAGGAAGGAGGTCTGCTGTCCCCCCGACCTGGGTCCCTGAGCTCCCAGCAGCTGCTCCCAGAGTTCTCCGCTAGACCTGCAGCCACGATGGTCTGTTTGCTTTTGTGTCTCCCCCAAAGGACTGTGAGTTCCCTGAGGTTGGGAAGGTGGTCTAGTCATCTCTGTATCTCCAAAACTGAATGCCTATAGTAGGCACTTAGTAAACCATCAATAAATTATTTTTGCAGTTGATAAAAAGTTACTTTTTAATAGGTGAGTTTTATTGCTTCCCTCTGATTGAGGAAACTGTTTTAAGAAAACTGGTTGGTACCATCAGGTTTTTAATCCTAGATTAGATTATTTTTCTTCAAAGACAAGTGTGTTGTCTCTTACCGATAAAATTATTGTAATGTCTAAAATGGCCAGTCATCACGATAATCCTGAGGTCATATTTTGTAGTAAATCCTTCACTGTGACTGTCTCAGATCAGCCCTAAAAAGTCTTCCTTAGGATTGTGATGAGCCACGATTTTATACAGATCAGAAGGAAGATGTTTCAAAATAAGAAGAGAAGAGAAGGGACGAGAAGGGAAGGAAAAGGAAAAGAAAAGAGAAAAGGAAAGGAAAAGAAAAGAAAAAGAAAAGAGAAAAGGAAAGGGAAGAAAAGAGAAAAGAGAAGGAAAAGAAAAAATAAAAGGAAAGAAAAGAAAGGAAAGAAAAGGGAAAGAAAAGGAAAAGAAAAAAGAAAAGGAAAGAAAAGGACAAGAAAGAAAAGAAAGAAAGGAAAAGAAAAGGGAAAGGAAAGGAATGAAAAAAATAAAAGGAAAGAAAACAAGAGGAAAGAAAAGAGAAAAGGAAAGAAAACAGAAAAGGGAAGAAAAAAGGAAGGAAAAGAGAAAAGGAAAGAAAAGAAAGGAAAAGAAAAGGAAAGAAAACGAAAGAAAGGAAAGAAAAAGAAAGGAAAAGAAAAGAAAAAAGGGAAAGGAAAGGAAAAGGCAAGAGAAAAGGAAAGGAAAGAAAAGAAAAAATAAAGGAAAAGGAAAGGAAAGAAAAGACAGAAAGCACGGACAGGAGAAGAGGGGTGCTTCTCTCTGACCTGGAAGGACTCCATCTCATTACCTGTAGGTCAGAGTATTTTTTTTCCACTTGGGTTCACCTGGGAAGAGGCGGTAGTTTGCCACGTCGGGAACTCCGCATCGGGGCCTCTTGATCACGTCCATCGTGGACCGGTCCAACTTGCCCGTGACTCGGAGGCCGAAGAAGGCTTGCAGCTCCTTGATCTTCTTGACCAGGGAACTGGCTCCTCGCGCGGCCATCTCACCGAGCTGGTGGCCTCCCTTCCTGGTGTAATACTTGTCAAGATAGGCCTGGAACAGACAGGCAGGTGGACACATCTGTGCACCGTCTCCGGGAGAGACTCGTGCTCAGGTTAGGAGGGGACCGTTTCTCCACAAGCGACACGCAGTGTGGAGGGCGTACTCCCACCTTGAAAAGAATTAGGTACATTCTCATGGATAAAGCTTTGATGGACGTATGCCGCATTACTAATATTAATTACGTTTGCGTAGCTGGGATTGGAGATTTTCTCCTTTTACCCACTTATCTTTCATAGTTTTCCTATAAGGACTAATTATTTTAAGAGGAAAACATAGAGGCTCCTGGGTGGCTCAGTCCGTTAAGCGTCCGACTCTTGATCTTGGCTCAGGTCATGATCTCACAGTTCCTGAGTTTGAGCCCCCCATTAGGTTTTGCACTAATAGTGTGGAACCTGCTTGGGGTTCTCTCTGTCTCTCTTTCTCTCTCTCTCTCCTCTCTCTCCCTCTGTCTCTGCCCCTCCCGGACTCATGCTCTCTCTCAAGATAAATAAATAAACTTCAAGAGGAAACAACAATAGAAGGAGATAATGTGAACATTTTCCCCAGGGATCGTTTGTCAATCTCCACCCAATTTGCAAAAACCAAGACTATTATCTGGGAGGTGGCTATTGGTGTCATGTTTTCATCAAACATTATGCATGATCAGTGTGTTTCTACACACAGAGGCCTTGCAGTCCAACCTGACGTCCTACACAACGTCAGACAATCTGTTTCTCTGGTGGCTTTTTGTTGTTAGGTCCGTGAACCTGTTCTCCGGGGCCAGGCTTCCAGGACTGTCTCTGTCTCCCACACCGCCA